TACCCCATATAACTTTCTTTCTCCACTGTATGGAAGAAAAAAAAATACATTTTTCAAATGATCTTTTGTGTTTCACAGAAAAAAGAAAGACATACAGGTTTGAAAAGGCACAAAGGTGAGTAAATGCTCTCTTGAATTTTCATTTTTGGGTGAAGTTGCTCTTTAACACAAATCTCCATTTCTAATTTCTACAGGGCATTTTGTGATGTTTGCCTGACTGAGCAACAGCAACAAGGAGGGGCAGAGCTCAGTGAAGGATCATAACAACAAACCGGGCAATAAAGAACTAAATCAATCCATGAACAACAATATACTGTATCAGTCTTAAAAATAAACCTACAAACACTGAACATAAAAACACCAATAAACATTTTATTTCAGTTGTATGTGAAAGTAGGCTGATCAAATCCAAAACTGATCAAAAAGTATTTTTAGCTTTCACCTGCATACACATCTAAGCTACTAAGAAAAAAAAAACCCTCAATACTGACAAAGACAGAGCGAGATCATTACAACACTCATCCAGAGAGATCCAGACATGGGAGAGGTGAAGCGCTGTACTGTTTAGACACTGCTAATAGAGTAATAAACTGAGATAGAGAAGCTACATCAAGCTGAACACCTACACAGACTGATAAAGAGCAGGGGAGACGGAGAAAGAGCAAGAGAAGTCTGGCACCATCGCACAGTCAGTGTTTATCACAGCTTGTCTGCTGTGCGTTAAACAAGAGCCATATGGACGTCTATGACTGAGGCTTAAACTACCATCAAACCCAGGAAATCACTGAAATTAGAATAAATAAAAAAGATAAACCAAATCATAAGGGTGTGGGTGTGTACACAAGGTGGAAGTGACTGTGTGTAGGAGGAGAGCTGATAGTGTTGGTGTACCTGTAGCTGGAGAGGTGATCACAGGAGGATGCTCGTCCATGTCTTTGATAAAGTCCTTAGTCATTTTCTCCAGCTCTTCTACTTCCCTCATAGTGAGAGGAGCTCCACCAGGACCTGAACCTGAACCAGACACCTGAAATACAACAGCATCACAAATGACTCCATTCATTTCAAACATTCGTTTTTAAAGATCATTTCAGTTTTACATCTGCAAACTTCATATTTTTTAAGTAATGTAAAACTTAAAAAAAGTAAAAGTGCCAAACAGTAAAAGCAGTAATATTGTGAACTATTATTACAATTTAAAATAAGTTTTTATTTGAATACAAATTTAAAAAAATATATAATTTATTCCTGTGATGGCAAAGCTGAATTCTTCAGTGTTGAAGTCTTCAGTGTCACATGATCTTTCAGAAATCATTCTAATATGCTGATTTGCTATGCTCAAGAAACATTTATTATTACTATCAATATGTTTTATGTGGAAACAGTGATTGATTTTCAGGATTCTTTGATGAACAGAAAGACTAAATGAACAAAAATGATTTGAAACAGAAATATTTTGTAACGTAAATGTCTTTACTGTCAGTTTTGATCAATTTAATGCATCCTTGCTGAAAAAAAGACAATTTTCACCATTCAAAATCTAACTAATATCTTATTTGCACATTAAATTTATTGTCTTTTATTTTATGCTTCTCTTTAATCATTTATTGCTGCCTTTACACTGCAAAGTCAGTTATGCATCACATCTTGTTCCTGACATAAAACATAATGTGCTTTGATTGACATGACACCAAAATTTAAGACAGCTCTAACACAGCATTGCATTCACTAAACTAAAGCCTACAACTTAACCTTAACCAAAACCGCAAAACTAGTCTTTTACCACCGAATACTGGTACTTTCTTCACGAAATATCTTTATTTTCCAGTTTATTGAATTTGTTTTGATTTTGTTACCTTACGTTATCTTTATTTATATAACTGCATCACATTACAATCTAAAGCAGACCCACCTTTGGTGGAACCGTGTTTCCTGCTGGTCTGTTGAATGACGAGACGGGCGATGTTTTAGGTGCAGCAGGAGAAGGCGGAGCAAAGCTTTGCTGACTGCCAGTGGGAGATGTTTCCGAGTGATTGAATGTAGGTGCAGGGGCAGGAATATTCACTGGTGGAGGAACAGGGGCGGGAGGGGCGGCAGGTGGAGGTGGTGGGAAAGAGCTTTGGGCGGGGGTTTTAATGGCGTGGTTAAACCCTCTTGCGCCTCCAGAAGGTGCTGGACTAACTGTTTTGGAACCAAAATTTGAATTCAGCTGACTGGGAGGGAAGTTGGTCTTTGGAGCAACAGCTGGGCCTTTAGTAAATGACTGTACAGGTGCGGGGGCAGATGCTGTGTTCTGATTGGCCGGTCGTGTTCGGGCACGTAGCTCCTCAGCCCAAGGGGCGGGGGGAGGACGATCCTGCAGCTCAGGAGGGGGCAGAAAGGAAAGGGCAGGCTTAGGAGCTGTCGGTGGAGGTGGTGCTGGCTTTGGCGCTGGTGCTGATGAAAACTGGCTAGGCAACTGAGCAAACAAACACAAATAGAAATAAGTCACACATCTGATGTGGAAAAAAGGAACTAAAGTCTTACAAAATCTCTAAATTGTAGCCAGAATGTTGCAAGATTAAAATTGTGAAAAATAAATTTTCCTTCCTTATCCAGTTATGGTAATGGAACATTTAAACAAAATGCTTAGTTTACATTAGTTTAATTTCTTTATTTGTGAAAATATTATAATGGGATTACAGAATAAATTTTTTACACATTGATTCATTTCAAATTTATATTTCATTTAGTAAATATTACGTAAAATATCATATTTCGGCAATATATTGGTCATCGGCCACTTTGCTCTCTAAAACTCACATCAGCCATCGAAAATTCAGTAGCTGTTGACCCCTACACAAAAAATTAATACTTAAGTTTTACTCATAATATTATTTACCCACCCTCTCCCTCTGTTAGAGAGTAATTTGGACTACTTTTATTGTGGTTCTGAAATATTTCACCACTGTATGCTTTCATTGTATGTAAAAGAGCAGCATGAACATTCTGCAAAATATCTCCTGTTATGTTCTACTAAAGAAAGTAAGTCATAAAAGGTTTGAAATTACATGAGGGTAAGTAAATTATGACAGAATTGTCATTTTTGGGTAAACCATTCTATTAAGGTTTAAAAATTAATGAGAAATAGCTAAACCCTGAAAGTCAAGATAAGAGGTTAAAGGCTCTTATCTTGACTTTCAGGATAAGAGGTTAAAGGCTCTGCGTTTACCTTTGGATTGAAAGGTCCGCTAGTCTCCATCTCTGATAACATATTGGTCAAAGAGCCCAGCTGCCTGTCAAAACTGGTCTGTTTCTCAAACAGCCTCTATGGAGAACAAAACAAGAGACAAGAGAGAATATGGGAGAATAAAAAAAAAAAGACAAGATGAGTGAGGGGTGTAGAAGAGGTCACAGAGGAGAACGACAAGAAAGGGTGAATCAACCATGAAACCAGACGTAGTCTTAAAAAGAGAACAAGAGTATATAAATGTGAGGCAATAAAAGGGTGGGACAGTGTACAAAGCAATAACAAAGGAATATGTGAAACAGAAAATGACAGGGTCAGAGCTGAAAACAATCCAGAGAACATTAAAAGTGTGAAGAACAGATATAAATAAAGATGAAGGAAACTGTGCCTTTTGAGAAGTGTTCCTAGATTATAATTAATGCCTAGTTAGTCATTTGATCAAATTATATGTGAAAATAAAAGGGCAGAATAGTTGTGTGAATCCAAAATGAGAGGGATGACGCTCTTAGAAATCTGGAAGAGCTGAGAAAGACAAACAAATTAGTCTTGCGGTTACAGAAATATGCCCTTTCTATGACAAATAACTGCACTGCTCGACAGTAGAAAAGAAAGAGTCATCAGACGCCTTAAAATGTACAAAACGTTCAGGATCAGGCACTATGGTCAACTACTTGAACAGCAACCGACTAGTTAGATTGACGTCTTTGTTCATTCATAGCAACTTGTACTGTTTATTGCATCAATTAGCATCTTGTGAAGTGAAAAGCTGCATGTTTATAATAAACAAATTCAGCAAGACGTCAACTTCAAACTGTTGCTTCCCACTAAAAAAATATTAGCTTGTAAACAATGTCACGTAACGTTACATTTATCTCTGGAAAGCCATTTAATGTCCATAAGAAAAAATCTGATAGTCAGATAGAAAAAATAACTCTAGAGAGGAGCATTTTGCTTAATATATGCAATATATATTACGTTCATACTTAAACTGTTAGTGATGCCTTCATTATTTGTCATGAAAGCAAGTTATTACAGTCACTGTTTAAATGTTTATATTTAAACAATGAAATGGAGTAAAAAAGTAATTATATCATTAAGAAGTTGTTATAAAAATGTGTAATTTAAATGTTTGTATACGACTTAGTTTTTATTTGAGTGTTGATTATGAAATAAATTTGATTAATTGATTATTAAATAACTGTTATTTTCAGTTTTCAGTAGGGATGCACCGATACCGATACTGGTCTCCTGTACTCGTACTCGTTAAAATGCCCCGATACCAAACGCCGATACCACACAGCATGTGATAAGTGCCATATTCAAACAAAGAAACACCGACAACAGAACAACAGACAGCAGAAAGGAGTTAAGGATGTCTACTACGAAGTATATGTATGCAATAAATATAATGTTAAACATTCAGTATTAACGCCTGTATAGCTGGTGTGCGCGAGCTGATAAACAAAGCACGCTGAGTGGATTGA